TATGGCAGTGAAACGATATACGATAGGATGAATGTAAAACTAATGTTCTCCCATGTAAACTATCACATAATTCACAATAAAACATTTAAAAAAAGAATAATTATGTTGTTATTTGTCATAGAGAAACCTTTGAATTTGTCTTTTGGAGGATTTTCTGCCCTACCAGTCACGTTTTGGCTATTAAATTGATAAGAAAACTTTAAATGTATCTCAGCTAAGAAATGAAACAGTGCATATGGGAGTCAGGAAATGTGGAATTTAATTTCAGTTCTACTAGTTTCTGGTTTCCATTAACAAGCTAATTAAAATTCTTTACATTTTGTTTCAAATTGTTTCATCTGAGCCAGGCTGCAAAGTGGGTCTGGTGTGAGTTTTCTCTGGTAATCAGGATGTGAAAAACTACTAGGAAAGCAATAGTTCTCTCAACCTTCGCTGCACATTAGAATCTGTTGATGCCCAGGTTACACCCAGACCAGTTAAATCCAATTCTCTGCAGATGGGACCTTGGCAAGCTCCCCACGTGATTATAATACGCTGAGTCCCAATGGGTTGGAGGATTAAGAGATGGGAGTGTGTCTGTAAGGCTTATGTGTGTGGAAGCAAGGTGGCTGAGCATAGCCATGATTGGTAGTATGGCTTAGGTGAGAACAGGACAAAGCATGGCAGGCAGAATCTCCCTGGGGTAGGAAATCTTTGAGTACAGGTTCGGAGTGTGTCGTTGTTATTTGTTCCCATGGAGTCCACTGCCGCTTATGGTGACCCCATGTGTTGCAGAGTAGAACTGCCAGTGTGAGAGTACCTTATTTATGTTTACTTACTAATCTATAAGGAGCTCTGGTAGCGTAGTGGTTATGAATCGGGCTGTGAACCACAAGGTTGGCAGTTTGAAACTACCAGTTGTTCCATGGGAGAAAGATGAGGCTTTCTGCTCCCATAAAGATTTACAGCCTTGGAAACCCTGTACAGGGTCGCTATGAGTCGGAACCGACTCCACAGCACATAACAACAACAACAACAACTAATCTATAGTGAAGAATTCCACATTTTTTTCACCACATCAAGGATTCTGCTTCTAGGTCTGGCTGGTATCTGTCTCTCTCCCAACCCCATGGCACCTTGCTGCAGAATCCAAGCGTCTTTTCAAATTTATAATCCCTGGCAGTTCTGGAGTACCCAATAAACACGGTAAGCCTGTGCTTACTTATTTTACTAATCTGTAGTGAACAGTATTATATGGATTTGTGGTGAAACCTATGTGAAACTGTTCATTATAGATAAGTAAGCACAAGTAAGCCTGTGTTTATCTTGCTTATCATTAGGATTATGGTCACAAAAAAACTATAGAGTTTTTGTGACCATAATCTTAATGAATGTAAATCACTAGGGCTTTTCTTCCATGGTATGGCTGGGTGGGTTCAAATCTTGTTGTATGGTAGTCTAGTACAAACCATTTGTGCCACATAGGGACAATGGAGTATACAGTTCTTACTGCGTGCTGT